TCGGTTGGCGCCAACCGGATATGGACCCTCCTGGTAAGCCAGGAAAAAAGGGTTCAGAACAAAGGAAATCCTTGGTTTATATACCTTTTAAAATAATTATGCATGCATCATGCAGACATCACAATGTGCGTCACAAAATTCTACTTTTACATTGACTTCAGTAGCATATTTTCAAACTCAACACCTTGTCAATCTTCATTAGCATCCCTATCTGAAGAGTTGCTATTAATGAGGACCATCGCCAGAATGTCTATCTCGGTACCAGGCACCTTATCGTAAGACTAATGAGGTAGTCGTCAAGAGGTTTCAGGAAGACCTTATCTTAGGATGGATGGAGACTCTTGCTATCAAAAACATCTTTAGTCATATTTCTTATCATTATTTTTAAATTTCCATTACAACTTGTGCTACATATAACTCTTATCACACACCTTTTATCCACTTACACATTTATAATTATTATTATAGCATTCTTTCCCCCTCTTCCCCTTCCCCTTAGTTTGTGCCTGTGCCATCACACCCAGATCCTATAAAAATAAAACTAAGATGTGCTTCTCTCTTTGTCTGGGCGGACCGCGGGGGTCTTTCTTTAGAAGCTTGAGATTCCCAGCAACTGAGGCTACTACAAGTTTTGAGCATCAAAACAGAATATTTATTTCTCAAAGTCCTTGCAGATGATCCAGGGTCTGGAGAACAAGCCCTATGAAGAGCGGCTTAAAGAGCTAGGCATGTTTAGCTTGAATGGTTAGACCGCACGTGGAAGATTGTGTCCAATTCTGGGCACCACAATTGAAGAGAGATATTGACAAGCTGGAATGTGTCCAGAGGAGGGTGACTCAAAATGATCAGGGGTCTGGAGAACAAGCCCTATGAGGTGCGGCTTAAGGGGCTGGGCATGTTTAGCCTAAATATGTGAGAGGAAGCCACAGGGAGGAGGAGGGAGCAAGCTTGTTTTCTGCTTTCCTGGAGACTAGGACGCAATGGAACAGTGACTTCAAACTCCAAGAGAGGAGATTCCATCTGAACATGAGGAAGAACTTCCTGACTGTGAGAGCTGTTCAGCAGTGGAACTCTCTGCCCCGGAGTGTGGTGGAGGCTCCTCCTTTGGAAATTTTGAATCAGAGGCTGGATGGCCATCTGTCAGGGGTGATTTGAATGCAATATTCCTGCTTCTTGACAGAATGGGGTTGGACTGGATGGCCCAGGAGGTCTTGGATTCTAGGATTCTATGATGATGATGATTCTATGTTTACTTCTCCCAAAAGAGACTCAAGTTCCATCTTTCTTCTTGGCAATTATTTGGTTTAAACATTTTCCCCCCCATAGCAGTGGATTGATTAATTGAACTTGGCATCTATGTTTATAGTCCCTTGGAAATATTTTTGTAAATCCCTTTAAATGCAAGTGGATGCAGCGCAATGGCAGAATTAGACGGGAACCTCGTTTCCTTTGAGTAACTCCCTCTTTTTCACTCTGGGTTCATTAAAGATCCGGCCCCATTCGCTCCCCGTTTGCCCTTGTTTATTTCGCCGCGTTTACAGGCCGAGGTGAGAGCCATTGAGGAATCCCTTTAATTGAGTGCGCCCTTTATAGGAAATTCCTGTTTATATTGCCCCAAATCTTTTTAATGGCTTTCTTATGGCGGACATAATTTGAAAAACGCGATTTATTATTATTTTCTTTGGCCCGCGGCCCACAATGCTGTTAAATTTATTTCCTCAAACAAGGAATTTTAGTGGGCACACTTTTCCATGAATAATATGAGGGGCAGATGGCATATAAATGTTGCGCAAGGAGAAGCCGGGTCCCCAAAGGGCCAAAACGGGGGGGTGCAAAGCTGCCTCTGGGGTTCATTCCTCTCCCAAATGTCAATATTTTCTCCAAATTCCACCAGTGTTCACATTTGGGCATATTGAGTATCCATGCCAAGTTTGGTCCAGATCCATCATTGTTTGAGTCCACAGTGATCTCTAGATGTAGGTGAACTACAACTCCAAAACCAAAGGACACTGCCCACCAAACCCTTCCAGTATTTTCTGTTGGTCATGGGAGAACTGTGTGCCAAGTTTGGTTCAATTCCATCATTGGTGGGGTTCAGAATACTCTGTTATTGTAGGTGAACTATAAATCCCAGCAACTACAACTCCCAAATGTCAAGATTCTATTTCCCCCAAACTCCACCAGTGTTCACATATTGTGCTCGCTTCGGCGGCACATATACTAAAATTGGAACGATACAGAGAAGACATTTGGGCGTATTGAGTATTCATGTAGAGTTTGGTCCAGATTCATCATTGTTTGAGTCCACAGTGCTCTCTGGATGTAGGTGAACTACAACTCCAAAACCAAAGGACATTGCTCACCAAGCCCTTCCAGTATTTTCTGTTGGTTGTGGGAGAATTGTATGCCAAGTTTGGTTCAATTCCATCATTGGTGGAGTTCAGAGTGCTCTTTGATTGTAGGTGTACTATAAATCCCAGCAACTACAACTCCCAAATGTCAAGATTCTATTTTCCTCAAACTCCACCAGTGTTCACATTTGGGCATATGGAGTATCCGTGCCAAGTTTGGTCCAGACCCATCATTGTTTGAGTCCTCAGTGATCTCTGAATGTAAGTGAACTACAACTCCAAAACCAAAGGACACTGCCCACCAAACCCTTCCAGTATTTTCTGTTGGTCATGGCAGAACTGTGTGCCAAGTTTGGACCATTTCTTTGGTGGGGTTGAGAATGCTCTTTGATTGTAGGTGTACTATAAATCCCAGCAACTACAACTCCCAAATGTCAAGATTCTATTTTCCTCAAACTCCACCAGTGTTCACATTTGGGCATATGGAGTATCTGTGCCAAGTTTGGTCCAGACCCATCATTGTTTGAATCCACAGTGATCTCTGGATGTAGGTGGACAATTTCAACAGAAAGGAGGAAACCATGAAAATGAACAAAATCTGCCTCCCAGTATTAAAAAACTCTAAAATTACAACAGCACAGCAACAGAGAGGAAACAAACAAGGACATCTAATCACCTCTCAACAAAAGATTGCTCCAGGCACTGCCAGGCCATCAAGTTTATTTATTTATTTATTTGCAGCTTTTCTATTCGGCCCTTCTCCTCACCCCGCAGGGGACTCAGGGCGGATTACAGTGTACACATATATGGCAAAGATTCAGTGCCAATTTTTGACATACAAACATATACAGACATACACAGAGGCTATTTAACGTTTTCTGTCGCTTTCCTCGTCCATCTGCGACGCTGATGAAGCACTTCCGCATTCCCCGCATGCTTCCCCGCTGGAATGCTTTGCTGGAGTCTTTTTTATGGCCTCACAAATCAGATAATTTAGCCTCCCCACACTTTAAGGTGGTACCTAATTTTCCTACTAGACAGATGCAACTGTCTTTCGGGTCGCAAAGGTCGACAACAGGCTACACACAATTGGTTGGAAATCCACTCCAACCTGGGCTGGCTTCGAACTCATGACCTTTTGGTCAGAGTGATCTTAATGCAGCTGACACTCAGCTAGCTGCGCCACAATCCTATGCGCTAATCAAATGCTAATCGAATGCTAATCAAGGTGGTCAGTTGAAACATTCACACCTAGCCCCAGCAGACAAGAGTCCTTTGTCCCACCTTGGTCATTCCACAGATATATAAACCCTTTTTCCTAGTTCCAACAGACCTCACTACCTCTGAGGATGCTTGCCACAGATACAGGCGAAACGTCAGGAGAAATGCCTCTAGAACATGGCCATATAGCCCGAAAAAACCTACAACAACCCAGCGATTCCGGCCATGAAAGCCTTCGACAATACATCATCATTATTATTATTATTATTATTATTATTATTATTATTAAATAATAATAATAATAATAATAATAATAATAATAATAATAATAATAATATGTATTGTCGAAGGCTTTCATGGCTGGAATCACTAGGTTCTTGTGGGTTTTTTTCGGGCTATATGGCCATGTTCTAGAGGCATTTCTCCTGACGTTTCGCCTGCATCTATGGCAAGCATCCTCAGAGGTAGTGAGGTCTGTTGGAACTAGGAAAATGGGTTTATATATCTGTGGAATGACTGGGGTGGGACAAAGGACTCTTGTCTGCTGGAGCTAGGTGTGAATGTTTCAGCTGACCACCTTGATTAGCATTTGAATGCTAATGAAGGTGGTCAGCTGAAACATTCACACCTAGCTCTAGCAGAGAAGAGCTCTTTGCCCCACCCTGGTCATTCCACAGATATATAAACCCTTTTTCCTAGTTCCAACAGACCTCACTACCTCTGGGTTTCGTTCGTTAATTTCGTAATTCGTTATTAATTCGTATTTAAATTAGCTTTCGATCCAATATTGAGCCATGCAGGAATAGTGTGAGGAGTAATTAAGATTCGAAACAATTTTTTCAATTTATTTCGTATGTTTCGTTATTATTTCGAAATTATTTCGTAATTATTTCGTAATTATTTCCGTATGTCTGGTGCAAGTTTTATAGTTGTTGTTTGCTTTATCACACCAACAGTCAACAACAGAGGGAGAGGGAAGCTTCAGAAGTTCCTCCTCTCCCATTTGGAGGGTATTTTTTTAGCATATTGCGCAATCGCGTCCACCATTAACAAATCGATTCGAAATTAACAAAATTTCGTAAATAACGAAACTTTGAAATCTCAAAATTTCGGAAGTATTTAGAATGTGGAAACGCTAGCGCCCCCTGGAAACGAATCGAGTTTAGAAACAATTTTTTCCGTGGTTACCCAGCCCTACTCACTCCCTCTGAGGATGCTTGCCATAGATGCAGGCGAAACGTCAGGAGAGAATGCCTCCAGACCATGGCCATATAGCCCGGAAAAACCTACAAGAACCTAATCATAATAATAATAATAATAATAATAATAATAATAATAATAACTTCTACATATGTATTCTGGCTTTGCTGTTGACCAATTAATGAACCAATCTCATTTTCCTTCCTTCTTTGTTTTTTTCCTTCCTAGATTGAGCTGCAAAAGAGGAAGATGCAACAAAAGGAACTGTTTATAGTCCAGCTTTTGGAGAAAATCTCTTTCCTCGAAGGAGAGGCAAGTATTGCCATTAGAAGTCAATACATACACATAAACACATTGAGCTCCATTGGGCTCTTAAGCTTGGAATATCCTGACATTTGGACACATTGCAGCCAATTGATTGATTTCCTTGTAACATCTGAGCTTCCTATCAATACTTTCCTGTTTTTATGCCGGTTTGTTGGTACATAAACACCTTGAATGTATCCAACAGTTAACTTCCTTCATATATAATACGTAACATATATCCAATATTCAGTTTGATTTGTATCCAACATGAATGGATGGATTGGTAACAAATTATGGACTGGACACAAAGATAGAGATACTTATATATTACCATATTTTTTGATGTATAAGACTACTTTCTAACCCAAGAAAATCTTCTCAAAAGTCAGGGTCGTCTTAGAATCATAGAATCCTAGAATCCTCGAGTTGGAAGAGACCTCCTGGGCCATCCTCCGGTCCAACCCCCTTCTGCCAAGAAGCAGGAATATTGCATTCAAAGCACCCCTGACAGATGGCCATTCAGCCTCTGCTTAAAAGCTTCCAAAGAAGGAGCCTCCACCACACTCCGGGGCAGAGAGTTCCACTGCTGAATGGCTCTCACAGTCAGGAAGTTCTTCCTCGTGTTCAGATGAAATCTCCTCTCTTGTAGTGTGAAGCCATTGTTCCACGTCCTAGTCTCCAAGGAAGCAGAAAACAAGCTTGCTCCCTCCTCCCTGTGGCTTCCTCTCACATATTTATACATGGCTATCATATCTCCTCTCAGCCTTCTCTTCTTCAGGCTAAACATGCCCAGCTCCTTAAGCCGCTCCTCATAGGGCTTGTTCTCCCGACCTTGATCATTTTAGTCGCCCTCCTCTGGACACATTCCAGCTTGTCAATATCTGTCTTGAATTGTGGTGCCCAGAATTGGACACAATATTCCAGGTGTGGTCTAACCAAAGCAGAATAGAGGGGTAGCATGACTTCCCTAGATCTAGACACTATGCTCCTATTGATGCAGGCCAAAATCCCATTGGCTTTTTTTGCCGCCACATCACATTGTTGGCTCATGTTTAACTTGTCCACGAGGACTCCAAGATCTTTTTCACACGTACTGCTCTCGAGCCAGGCCTCATCGTCCCCCATTCTGTATCTTTGCATTTCATTTTTTCCTGCCAAAGTGGAGTATCTTGCATTTGTCACTGTTGAACTTCATTTTGTTAGTTTTGGCCCTTCATCTCTCTAATCTGTCAAGATCGTTTTGAATCCTGCTCCTGTCCTCTGGAGTATTGGCTATCCCTCCCAATTTGGTGTCCTGCAAACTTGATGATCCTGCCTTCTAGCCCTTCATCTAAGTCATTAATAAAGATGTTGAACAGGACTGGGCCCAGGACGGAACCCTGCGGCACTCCGCTCGTCACTTCTTTCCAAGATGAAGAGGAAGCATTAGTGAGCACCCTCTGTGTTCGTCCATTTAACCAATTCCAGATCCACCTCACCGTAGTTTTGCCTCGCCCACCTTGGACTAGTTTCCTTGCCAGAAGGTCATGGGGGACCTTGTCAAAGAAGGCCTTCCTGAAATCCAGACATGCTCCATCCACGGCATCATTCCCCGCATCTACCCAGCTTGTAGCTCTATCGAAGAAAGAGATCAGATTAGTCTGGCATGACTTGTTTTTGATAAATCCATGTTGACTATTAGCGATGACCACATTTGTTTCTAAGTGTTTGCAGACCGCTTCCTTGACCATCTTTTCCAGAATCTTGCCCGGTATCGACGTGAGGCTGACCGGACGGTAGTTGTTTGGGTCATCCTTTTTTCCCTTCTTGAAGATTGGGACCACATTGGCCCTCCTCCAATCTGCTGGAACTTCTCCCGTTCTCCAAGAACTCTCAAGGATGGTTGCCAATGGTTCCGAAATGACTTCCGCTAGTTCCTTCAATACTCTGGGGTGTAGTTGATCTGGCCCTGGGGACTTGAACTCATTAAGAGCGGCCAGGTATTCCTGGACGACTTCTTTCCCAATTTGGGGTTGGATGTCCTCCAATCCCTCATCCACTCCATCTTGCTGAGGTTGAAGACTCTCTTTTTGTGAGAAGACCGAGGCAAAGAAGGCATTAAGGAGTTCTGCCTTTTCCCTATCATCCCCTGTCAGCATTGCCCCATCTTTTCCTCGAAGAGGTCCTATCGCCTCCTTGTTTTTCCTTTTTCCAAACTTCGTGATCATGCCTTAATAATAATAATAATAATAATAATAATAATAATAATAATAATAATAAATCTTTATTTCTACCCCGCTAACATCTCCCGAAGGGCTCGGTGCAGCTTACAAGAGGCCGAGGCCCAACATAACAAAGAACAACAGCATAACAAATACAACAATAAATAACTCATAAAACAAGCAGTAAACATTAAAACAATAGCAATTAACATTAGACAATAATACCATGACACATTTAAAACTAAGGCCGGGCCAATGTAATGATTAAAAAATTTAAAATGCTGGGCATGACAGGTGAAATAGGTTTTTGGAGATAGGTGCAATGTGCGGACAATCTTAAATCTCTAATAAAGTGCATTTGGGACATGATGCTTGGAGTTTCCTATTCTGGGAAGGCACACTGGAACAACCACGTCTTCAAGCTCTTCCTAAAGACTGCCAATGTTGGGGCTTGTCTGATGTCCTTGGGGAGAGAGTTCCAGAGTCGGGGGGCCACCATGGAGAAGGCCCTGTCCCTCGTCCCCACCAATCGCACTTGCGACGCAGGTGGGATCGTGAGCAGGGCCTCTCCAGATGATCGGAGAGATCGTGTGGGTTCGTATACAGAGATGCGGTCACGCAGGTAGGTGGGTCCCAAACCATTCAGGGCTTTGTAGGTAAGAACCTGCACCTTGAATTGGGACCGGAAAATGAATGGCAGCCAGTGGAGCTCCTTAAACAGGAGGGTTGACCGCTCCCTGTAAGGAGCACCAGTTAACAACCTGGCCGCCGCCCGTTGAACCAATTGAAATTTCTGGGCCGTTTTCAAGGGCAGCCCCACGTAGAATGCATTACAGTAGTCCAATCTGGAGGTGACTAAGGCATGGACCACCCTGGCCAAATCCGACCTATCATCAATGAATGCCTGATCAGGACCGGGCCCAGGACGGAACCCTGCTTGTGGCACTCCACTTGTCACTTCTTTCCAGGATGAAGAGGAGGAAGCCTTGGGGAGAATCACCCTCTGGGTTCGTCCATTTAACCAATTCCAGATCCACCTCACCATAGTTTTGCCTAGCCCACATTGGACTACTTCAGCTTGTAATTCATCATATATTCCCATGTAATTTTGATGATGTTGTTTGTTGTTTATGTTTTGGTTTTATTTTGATGTAATATGTTGTTTGGGCTTGGCCCCATGTAAGCCGCTCCGAGTCCCCATCGGGGAGATGGTGGTGGGTTATAATTATTATTATTATAACTTTATTTGTACGCCGCTAGCATCTCCCGAAGGACCCAAGGCGGCTTACAGAGGCCAAGGCCTCAATAAAAACATAGCATAACAAAATACACAACTTAAAGCAAATCAAAGCAATTAAAGCAATATCAAACAACAAAACAATAAAACAATACACCAAAAACACAAAAAAACAGGGCCGGGCCAATGTAATGGGTACAGGTTAAAAGTGCTGATGTGACAGGTGGTATATCGGATTTTAGGGTAAGTGCAGTGTGCGGGCAATCTTAAACTCTACTAAAGTGCTTCTGGGACTTGGTATTGGAGTTTTCCTATTCTGGGAAGGCACATCGGAACAGCCAGGTCTTCAAGTTCTTCCTAAAGACTGCCAAGGTAGGGGCCTCTCTGATATCTTTAGGGAGGGAGTTCCAGAGTCGAGGGGCTACCACAGAAAAGGCCCAGTCTCGCGTCCCCACCAGACGCGCCTGCGACGCAGGTGGGATTGTGAGTAGGGCCTCTCCGGATGAACGAAGTGAGCGCGTGGGTTCATAAACGGAGATGTGGTCACACAGGTAGGCAGGCCCCAAACCGTTTAGGGCTTTGTAGGTCAGCACCTGCACCTTAAATTGGGCTCAGAAAATAAACGGCAGCCAATGAAGCTCCTTAAACAGGAGGGTTGACTCTCTCTGTAGGGAGCACCAATTATCCTGGCCACCAACCGTTGGACCAGTTGAAATTTCCGAGCCGTTTTCAAGGGCAGCCCCACGTAGAGCGCATTGCAGTAGTCCAATCTAGAGGTGACCAAGGCATGGACCACCCCGGCCAGATCAGCCTTTGCGAGGTATGGTTGCAGTTGGCGCACAAGTCTCATAAAGATGATGATGATGATGATGATGATTCAGCCTGACCAGAGTTGTGCTGTGTTTCAGAATAAAGAGCTGCAGGACCGTTTAGATTACCTGATGGAGACCCAATCGAGGCCCGACGTGGAAACCAGGGACGTGGCTGTTGGGGGCGACCTTCCTTTGAGGTAATGGGCTCCAATCCCCTTCCACTGGGTTCCAGAAATTGGGGAGGGGGAGAGACAGGAGACAAGCCTGGTGAAGAACGAAAGGAGGCTTCTTGATATTGGGCACTAGGCTGTGTTGCGAATTGCCAGAACGAAGGACTTTCCTTCTGAGCAACGTCCCCAAAACGGACCCACAAAACGCCCCAGTTGGGGCCATTCCCTCCGATTACAATTAAACGTCAACGGGGAATGGTTTATTATGGCATCTGACAGCTGTTTATGGGACGTTTCCTGGAAAATACCCCGAGTGCCCAAGCACCTCCGTGCGCCTCCCAGGCTGCGCCTTTATGACCCTGATGGGCTTATTTTATTTTTCCTGTTTGTATTTTTAATATAAGCAAGCCCTAATTAATGGTTTGGGGGTGGGTTGCGTTGCAGAACGCTCTGAAAGCCCTAAAGGCAGAGGAGGAATAGGCCCTGTTTTGGAGGAGGGGGAAGTGGCCAGGAAAGGTGGCCTTCTCCTGCCTTGTTATTTATATGGCACCACGAATGCACTTGGCACTTTGCAGGATAAAACAGGAAGAGGTTTGTTGTTATGCTGTTGCTGCTGTTGTTGTTATTATGTTGGATTGTAAGAACATGCAGTGTGGTTGTGCTTGGGTTTTTTGTGTGCGCATCCATTGCATTCAAACAAAAACTAATACGTTATTGGTCCTACAGCTGATGGCAATATGCAAATATTAAAAGAGTATTAAACATAATTAGTATTAAAAACAATTCTGATTAAATCCCTAAAAACATTTTTGAAAACCCCATAATGATGTAGAGATAAAATTTAGGGGTCTTTGTCAGGAGGCAGAGACCAATTAGACTAATCAAAGAGTTCTTTTTTTCCTGACGAGACAGAGAAGCATCCCATATTTTCCCTGATTTCCCAATGAAAAGTCTCACCAGTTGAAGAAAAGCCATTGAGGTTTTAATTGCGATTCAGCTGAAAAGGATGCCGAGCTGCAATCTTTCACCAGCAGAGCATGAGGGGAGTACACCAATACAGTCATATTGATAGCAAATTCAAAGTTGCAGAGTTCAAACTCCCCGCCCCGGCTTCCCTGTTGTTCCCCGCCATGATTGGGCGATGGGTGAACAGCTGGGAGGCGGCCCTCCCACCCCCAGTGCCTCTGGACCAATCAGGAAACTCCAGTGGTCTGTAGGATCCAATGGGGAGACCTCTGCCACCTGGTGGCAACAGCAAATCAGGAGAGAGGGAGGCGGGATGAGGGAGCACAAAGGAATCTGGGAAAGGAGTCTTTAAACAAAGGAAATGCCATGTGGCCTGAGACAAAAAGCTCAAACAGGGCCGATCTATTGTGTTCATGAGTGTTGTGAATCAACATGTGTAAAAATATCCTGATCCTTCCTGGCTGTGAGACAGGAGAACAATGATGGCAGCCTGAGGTTAATGCTAAGTAAACAAAAGCAGAGGGGAAGATTTCCCCTTACCTTACAGAAACTTTTGTCAAACAATTCTTTACTCTAGTGGGCCATTTCCGATGCTAGAGATAAGAAGTTCCTTCTTTTATCCATGCAAGTGTGTCTTTGGCGGGAGGTTTCAGTAATCACTAATGGCTTTTGTTTCTGAAGGCCAGGGGGTTCCCTTACATATTTCTTTGGAGGGAGAAAGGGGCAAAGGGTCAGGAATACAAGAAAACATAAAAAATCATATAGAAATTATACACGGGGAAATCATATGCAGGTATCTTCCCATTCAGGGCCCCAGAGAGAAATTAATAATACCAATTATAAAAAGCAGACGATATCAGGACACACCATGAATTCATAAGTTGTCTTGAAGAAAGTTCATGGGTAGAGAGCGAGTCCTTGAAGAGAGTGAAGTCCAGGAATGTAGCAGAATTCAAAAAGTCACCAAAGGGAGTCTATGGAGTTCCACTGGGCCAAGACACAAAGCCCTGCAGCGCTGGGATGGAAGCCGGTCCCATGGTCCTTGGAAAACTACAGCTCTCTCGAGAGAGGCAGAGACCCCAAGGTCTAGCCATTCCCGAATTTTCATGGGGTCCTCATTGTTGTTAAGGTTTTGGCAAATTGACCAAGACTTAATCCCTATTGTGCAGTCTGGTACCTTTGTCCTTTGCAGAACTATAAGTTACCATCCCTTGTTGGGGGGGGGGCATGCTCGACTTCAATAACAGCCGCTGCTCTGACTCAATGCTATGGGGTCATGTGGGCTGTAGTTTGGGATCATGGGGGCTGCGAAGGAATGCAGATGCCTTACCAAACTACACATCCAATTGCTATCGAGCAGGAATTTAGTGGCTCTCGTCCTGGAGGGTGAGAGCCCGCAGACCCAACAAGGAGGGCCTGCTACTTTGGTGAGTGAAAAAAAAGACACGCAAGATGGAATTTCCCTGATTTCCCAAATAAATCTCACCAAAGTTGGAGTAAACGCCACCGAGTTGCTTTATTGCGATCTATTTGGAAAGGATGCAAAGCCGCCATATTTCGTCAGGCAAGCATACATTCAATACAAAGCTGTGCCTTTTAATAGAAAATACAGAGCTGTAGATTTCAAATTCCCCGCCACTCACCCATTAACCGGCTTGGCGTTGATTGGCTGGCACTCTTAACAGCTGGGAGGAGGCTTGGTTGCCTCTAGCGCGCTTCAGCCAATCAGCGAGGCAATGTCGCCTTGGTCCTAGCCAATCAGGAAAAGGGGAGGCGGGACGAGCGAAGACAAGGAAGGGATGAATGGATTAATTGTTCTTGGATCTGGATTTTTCCTGCGACTGGCCTTGAAAACAATAAGCGTGATCTGTGTGGCAGTTTCGGTGTGGAAGTAAACAAAGGTTGAAGCAACTGGGGACATGTTTGTCCCTTGTGTCCTGATAGGATTAACCAGACGGATGTATGCCCCAAGAGGTCCAGCTCCAAGGCCTGGGGCATATTTCCTTTGTATTGTCCATGCAAGTAGTTTCTGCCAGGATCCCTTTAAATCAAAGGATTATCTTCTCAGAGGAATGTGAAGTTTTCCCTAAGGCTTTGGGTGCTGGGGTCACGAAGAGTGGCATTTCATATTTCATATAAGGAGTATGGGGAAGGGGGAAACATGCAAGGGTATCATATGAGGGCACATTCATATAAAGAGAAAGAGCCCATCTCCACCTCCCCCCACCCACCAAAGTCAATTGGGAATTAATACAGCCATTTTGAGAGCCCATGGGGCTGGGGAGAGGAACTAGTTTTAAAAAGTCCAAAGGCTTGAAAGGTAAATTCAGTTAGCAATGGCGACCCTCAAATAGGATCTCCAGGGGCTCCTTTGGCTTTGGCTCAGCTCTAGGAGTTTCATATGAGAGTCCTGTCCTTCGGGGTGAGAAGGGTGGCATATAAATGTCGTAAATATAATAAGATATAATAAATAAATAAGATGTGAACCTAATGCGCAGCCTCATTTTGGGAAGGTCATTCAGCCCAAAAAGGTGAACGTTAGATTTGAGTCAAGACAGTAAGGTTTTCTGTTATTGTTCCCTTCTTCCTTTACAGCCCAGAGAACAGCACCCAGCCCTGCGATGCCTTGAAGCCAGCCCGGAGCTACTCCCCATTCACACGGGTCTTGGAGTATTCCTCGAGGCACCGGGCGCCATTGAGGCCCATCGTCCCCTCTCCACCCCTTCCTCCTCATTTGCCCCCAGAAAGGACCGTTGCAGAGAACTCAGAATGAGCACAAACGGAGAAGGCGTCCCATGCCTTCCGCCTTAGTGCCGGCTCCAGGAGAGTTCATCCAAACTGTGAAGGAAACCATCATTAATACCATTGGAACTTCAGGTCATAACTTTGAAGCATTACCTCCCATGTTCTTCTTGGAGAAGACAGAAAGGTCAGCGCCATTTCTAACACATAGAAGACACTACAACCCACTGCCCAGGACAGCTATGGATGCAAAGACCGTTCAGTCTTATGGGAAGGAGCAGCCGATTTGAAGGATGCATTCTTTCATGTGCCGCATCGATTATCTCCTTAAATATGACTGCTGTCCTAGAGCTGCTGACCCTTCCGATCCTCTCCGAGGTTTCCTCTCAGTTTACTTTCTTTCAGGACAATCTGAGTCTTGCTTCTTTGTCGTTGGAGGCTAAGGAGAGTCTTACTTCTTCTAAAACCTTAACACTCAAAAAAGGCCAAAGACCCAACCTATATATATTTTTGGTATATTTAAAATCTCTGAATGTTACTCTACGCAGATATGTTTAATCGCCCTTCATATTCCGGCTTCATTTATATTTTACTAAATTGCCGCAATGTTCTATTTAGTGCCATATAACGGCTTGAAGAGTAAAAGGACATTTAGCACTGTGTATATGGATTAAAAGAGAGCGAGGGGGGGGGGATCCTTGTGATTTCAAACTGCCAATATGAAGATGCTGCCAAGGCATTGGACTGCACTCTGAGCTGACTGTGTTTTATGAATTTGCACTACCGTATTTAAATATTCAATAAAGTAACGCACCACTCAAGAAGGGATCTGGTTCAGTGAGAACTCTGGATCTGGAACTATTTCAATGCAAGTTATTTATTTATTTATCGTGTCATCAGCAACCAGACATTTGTATTAGATTTTTAACAAAAACAAACAAACAGACAGACAAACCACAGAATTTGCAAGTTTGAAGGCGCTAGAGACTTCCCAACGTCGTTCAGGTTGGTCTGAACATGAAGTATAAGTCTCAAGGGTAAGAACCTCAGAATTGGTGCTGAGAGGTAACTTAATCAGGGGCTTTTAGAGTCAGGTCTCTTACTCACGTCCATCTGGTAGAAAATCTGATGGTAGAATGAAAAAAGGAAGCACTCCCCTCCTCCAGGAAGAGGTGGAGCCAAACAATTGAGCTATTTATTTGTCGTGTCAGGGAAACCAGTCAATTATATTACATTTCTAACAGAACAAAGCAAACAAACAGACAAAATACAAAATTTGTGAGTTTGGTAGTGGATTAAATGTCCTTTGACCAGTATCT